ACCCACCACCAGGCCAACCCATCCTCCCACCCCCCTCCCCTCTAGAACCCTCAGTTTGTTTTTCAGAGTCCATCTTCTCTCATGAAAAACCCACAACATTTTAATCTATAAACTAATTTTGCCATAGTAGGTTATGTGATATTTGGTGGGTACACAAAGCAAGTGGTCAAGTAATGGGGAATTTTGATCAGAAAAAAAATTTCATGGTGAAGGAAATCTTTCAAGCAAGCCTCAAGAGTTTGTAGACAATTCCAAGTGGAAGGAGCAGTTTGAGGCTCGTCTTTCCGTCAGGTATTATAGGAACTATGTCAGCAATTTGACATAACTGTGTGTGATGGTGACTGAAGGAGAGGGTAACATAGATTTAGGTGTAGGGATGGCCTAAAAGACCCCTCTGACCCATAAATCCTGTGTCAGAATATTCTGATAAGTGCAAAGGATACCATTTTGGCAAATGAGACCATCAGGAAACAGCCTGGGAATGTTTTGTGTGCACAGGTTCTTGAATCTCTGCACGTGCTCATGTTAGAGAAGATGATCAGGTGAAGCCTTACCAAGTCTCAGGTAACTTCCAGTGGGAGATGACCAAGTCATGTCACCCCAGACATGTCACCCATAAATGCCAGCAAAATTACTTTATTTTTTTTTTCACCAGTAAAATTACTTTAACATGCCAAGTCACCTGGCTCGTGCCATCAGTGCCATCTGGTACATTGTTCATAGTTGTAAAACGCCTGGTGTAGACACTGGACAGGAAGGGGTTATATTGAAACTAGGTCGTGATGGCACCTGTGAACCTGAGGCATTTGTTCTAAGCCCGCCAGACCTGGGCACCTCGGTTCACAGGTGCAATCACAGTTGTGTCAAATTGCTTATGTAGTTCTTACAATACAAGGGTCTTAGAAGGGTCTACAGTTGTGATATACTTTACACTGTAGTGTGGACCAGAAGATGTACCACATAACCCTCGTTGTGTGAATGACTTCAGGAAAAAAGGGTGTTCTATGACCAAATAACATTGGGAAGTACTACATGCTGTATTTTTCTCATGAAGAGTCACAGCGACGAAGAACATATTTAAAGTCCTACAATAAAGAAAGCCTGTTTAATTTTATTTTTATTCATTTTTTTTATTCTTATGTTAATCCCCATACATTACATCATTAGTTTTAGATGAAGTGTTCCATGATTCATT